AAGACCTTCCAGCTCATTGTCATTCCTAGCATACAATTTAAGTCATCCATGTAAAATAGATGGTTTATTTTCTTTTGAGCTATTTTGTAACCGCATTCTGTCTTGTTAAGTTGGCTGGTTAATGCTATAAAATGATATGCAAAATAATAAAAGGAGACAAAGAGTCACCTTGAAATATTCCTCTATTGATGTTTATTTCGCCAGACTTATAGGTTCCATTTTATGATTGAGGTAAAGTGTAGTTTTCCATATCGACATTTGTTTGATGAAATTGATGATAACGGGTGATACCTTGTACATATTAAAGACTTTAAGATCCAGGAATGTGGTACACTATCGAATGCTTTACGATAATCTATCCAGGCAATACTAAGATTTTTTTTTTCCCACGGGAAGCAGTTTTCCAGGATCATCCTATTAATAAGTAATTGGTCTTTACATCCGTAGCAGCCTCGTTTAAACCCTTTTTGTTCAAGTGGTAGTATGTCATTTCTTTCCAAGAAGAAATATGTCTGTTTTGTTAAAATAGATGTTAACAGTTTGTATGTTGTTGGAAGACATGTAATTGGTCTATAGTTTTTCGGAATATTTGTGTCACTATTTTTGGGTAGAAGAAAGGTAACTCCTTTGGTCATCCATGCAGGAATTTTAGTTGGATCGGTAACCATTTCTTGAAGTTCTTTGGCGAGTTTTTGTGTGCTGTATTTAAATAATATAGCCAGAAGTTAGGAATTTTATCTATTCTTGAGATTTCCAGTTGTGTGCTTTTTTCAGTGCACATTTAACATCTTCTTCTGTGATTCCCGCCCATGTCTGTTCTGGTTTATTTTTCATTCGTTCTAACTCTTGCGCAATCCAATCTGCCTCTTCGTTGTGTTCTTTAGGGCAAGCCCATATTTTTCCCCAGAACTGTATAACTTCTTCCATTTTAGGGGGACTGTCACTTCAATTCTTTGTTTACCTATTTCCCTGTAAAATTTCTTTGCATCAGTTTGAAAGATCTTGTTCTGTCTATAGAATCTTGATCTTTTCTCGTAGCGTCTTATTCTTTGAGCCTTCAGTTGTATTGTTTGCTTTTTTTTTTCTTTAGTTGATAGGACTTCATTTTCATTCCTGATATTGTATTTTCTTTCGACTCTTCTGCCTTTTCTAGTTCTTACATTTACTCCTCTTGCTAGTTCATCGAGTACTGATAATTCACTTCTAAGGTGTTCAATTTCTTTTTCTATTTTTTCTTTTCCAAGGTGGATCTTCATGTCTGTGAGACTGCCTTTTTTTTACTTTGATGTTCAGTTTATTTGTTGCTGCTATTGCTGATGCATATATTGCTTCATTGAGATTTATAATGGAGTGTCTTCTTCATCCAGAATCAATTTGAGTGCTGCATTATAGAGCTTAATAGTTTTGAGGTTATGCTTTGTTGGTTGTAATTTTGGGAGTTGTTCTCGTTCCTCCATTGCAATATTCTGTATCTGACTTATATGGCTCATGATTTCATCCTTGGCTTCTTGTATATTAATCTTGTTTTCTGTGAAATAATTCTGTTCGATGAATTTTTGAACTCGTTTTATTACCGTCTTGTGACTGACTAAGATCATACCTTTCCAACATTTCTAAATTTTCAGCATTATCTTCACATGATTTGTGTGTATTTCGGTTTTTTCATTATGACCTGAGGCTTGTGTGATGTTATTACTTTTTTTTCCTGATTCCGGTTCCTTTTCATGTTTTGTTGGTTCATCTATTCTTGTTGCAATTCTTTTTCATTTCATTAATTTCAGCCTCTGTCAATCGGTTATTTCGCATGATGTCCCTTCTTACATTGGCTAGTTTATTTTTGTCTATGTACTTTCTAATTGTTTGCTTGAACCTTCTCTCCAAATGTCATATGTTTGGCGGGTGATGTTTTTCTGAGGTTTGAGTAACGCTTCATGGAATGCAGTCATAACAACTTTGTACTCCTCACGAGACCATTTTATTTTTTTCTTTCCTTAAATTTACGGTTATGGATCTAGCTGGGAGAATTTACAGGACCATCATTAGGATTATCCTGGTTTGTCAGGGACCTGAAGATTCATTCTTTGTGTAGGAGTTTGTTCCTATGGCAGATTTTTTCGACCTCAGGTAGGTTCCCTCTGAAGGACGGGCTCCCTGTTTATCCACTGGAAGAGCCATACTGGACGTTTTGTTTCTATTTTTTTATTATTATTATTATTATTATTATTATTATTATTATTATTATTATTTCTTTAGATTACTATTATATATACATTTACTTCCAGGTCCCAATCAGAGACCTAAGGTCAGAAAAGTCTTCATGATATTTTTAATTTATTATTATTATTATTACTATTATTATTATTATTATTATTATTATTATATGCAATGTTTTTGTTTTCAATCGGAGATATTGAATTATGCATGTTCACCATCAAGTTGAACGTCCTGAGGCAGAGAGACCTATTTGCAGAATATTTTCAGTGCAAGGCAACGAAGACTTCTGAAGCGACGGGATACTAGGCTTTATTCAGTTTTCCCAAATATAAGACTTTAGGTCCAGTGGTATAGGTCCCAAGCCCACAATAACAACTAAGACAATAGCGGCCTGAGCGTATGACATTCTCGCAACTTCAGTCCAAAACACAGGTTACTTTTTGAGCTTGTCAATATACTGAACCATGATATGAGTGTTGACTTCAATGTTCACTTTTATATTTATATTTACATACGCTCTATCTCTGCAATCATCAGACAAACTCTAAGTAACGCGCATATAATATATAAATAATATATATATATATATAATATATTACACATATATATATTTATATATATATTTATATATACACACACTTTTCACACACACACACACACACACAAATTTTCGATGCTTAATAAATGGACCTACGTCACAGAGTTTGTCTTTGATTTGTTACACGTAAGTTAATGGATTGCAACGCAAAATATGGTCCTTGATGTGGGTCGCGGTAAAAAAAAATAGTTTAAAAATTGCAAGTCATGGACGGCGACATCCGCCATTTTGCTGACAAAACGGTGAAATTCATTACTTTTCTGGCGGTGACCGTAATAGTAATTAGACCTTAATTTCATAACACATATAACTCTTAACAATGTCTGTCATTTTGTGTACAACCGATTAGCAATCAGTGTTATAACTCATGCCAACTGTTCAGTCCAATAATTGATACACAGTGACTTTCGTCTGATTTTAACAATCATGGGTGCTACTTTGGCATGTTATCTACGTGTTCTGAATCTATTTTGGTATGCGATCTACACTTTAGACGGCGATCAACGTGTCGTGAATTAGCTTTGGTATGAGATCAACACTCCTGACTTCTATTTAGCATTTTTATCCGACGTGTGTGCTGTCTATTGCGAGAATATTATTAATAGGATATTATTTTAATTACATTTTCTCTATGTTATATATATATATATATATATATATATATATATATATATATATATATATGTTATGTTATGTTTTACTATGCAGATATGATTCCAAATTAAAATGTGTACAGTGTAGACATTTTAGCAGATGTACATGATGTTTATCGCTAGAATATAAATAAAAGAAATGTTTTTAATATTTTAATTACTTTTTTATGCTACATATATATATATATATATATATATATATATATATATATATATATTAAGACATTTTTTATGTTTATACGTTCTTTTTATAGATAAAATATTTAAGTAAATGCTCTGTTTATAATAAAAATGTCATTTGTTTACATTTGGATACGCATCGAACAGATATGAATGTACGATAGAAAATCATGGAGAATTGTAGTTTAAAAACAGCAAAATCGACTTTACCGACTGTGGCTAAATCGGTTAAGCACGTCAGGCTATATGACGGTTCCGTGTAGGATACAGGTTCGATTCCTGTCGGAGAAAGCATATATTCTATGGAAATTTCTCGTACATTCTGGCTGGTAAATGTTGTTAATACAGTTTATTAAAAACAGAGCTTTTACTTAAATATTTGTATCTATAAAAACAATGTATAAACTTAAAAATAATTGTCAAACTTCTTCCATCTCAATATATATATATATATATATATATATATTATTAATAGAAATCTTATAAGTATAAGAAACTATACTCGCTCGGGAAACCTTCGGTGTCTTGATTTGGAAATAATCAAACCAATATCAAAGGGAAAAAAACGTATAAAAAAAAGAAAGAACCAAGAACATGTACGTCAGCCGAAAATAATCGTCCAGCATACGAGTCTAAGGAAAAAAAAACCGATGCGAGTACCCAAAATAACCTAAATAAAGTGTTCAAACCTACACAATGAGTTTGAGCAGACCTAGTTAAAATATATATATATATATATATATAATACCTATTTTGGTAGGTTTGTCTGGCTGGATTTAGACAATTAAATCATTAACCTTTTGCATTTATTTATATAATAATATATATATATATATATATATATATATATATATATATTAAGCATTTCGCCCCAAGCAAGGCGGGAATGCCACTAACAAGCAGGGTCTCCAGCTGCCTCGCTGTCGATGTTGAATAAATCTAGAGAAAAAACGTATCCTTGCCTTATGCCCCTTTCTATTTTAACTATTCAGTTCATTTTCCTATTTTTGCACTCCAACTAACAGGAAAATAGGAACTCCAAGGAAATTTATACTTAAAATCAAAACGAGGCAGTTGAAATTCGTATTGCCATAATGAAGAAAAGGGGCTTAGAGAATTTAATACTCACATGGTATACTGAAGGCAAGATTAGTGTGTAATTTATGAATTTATGCGAATGGATACCTGAAGAGCAGCAAAGGGAAAATGTAAAGGATCAAAAGTTACTTAGAACAACAAAAGACAAGAAGCTGTGGAGAGCCTTGATACTCTACCTCTGAAAAGGACATGGTACATAAAAGAAGAAATATTTTTATTTTTCATTTGACTTTTCTCTTGTTCGCTTTCCTCCTCACATGTTCTTCCTTCTTTTCCTCCTCCTGCTCCCTTTTCTCCACCTGCCACTTCTCCTAACGCTCATAGTCCTCATACTACTACTAATTTTACTACTACCTCTATTCATCCTACTCCTTCTGATACCCTTACTCCTCCTGTTTCTCCCCCTACTATTCTTACTCTTACTATTCTTGCTACTCTTTCTACTACTACGACTCATGCTACTGCTCCAGCCCCTTTTCCTCCTGCTCCTACTACTCCTACTAACCCTAATCATCCTACTACTCCTACTCATTTTATCAATCCTACTCCTCCTACTACTCTTATTCTTCCTGCTACTCTTATTCCTCCCGTTAACCCTTACTACTATTCTTTCTCCTACTATTCTTACTACTCCTTCTACTCCCACTGATACTTGTCATTCATTCTATAGCACGCTTCCTCACATTTCCTCATTAATCTCTCTCTCTCTCTCTCTCTCTCTCTCTCTCTCTCTCAGAGTCCTTCACCAGATATTTGTAAGAGGGATAGAGAGAGATACAATCTGTGTTTCTCCCTCTTCCACTTTCGTTTTACTTTTTCTCGACCTCCTTTTCTTCCCCACCTCTTTCTTTACTTCTCTCCGTCTTTCCCTGTCGTTTTTCTTTCTTTCCTTCTAAATGCCAGGGAAACAGGTTGCGAAAGCGAAAACCTGTACACCGGCTCAGCGTGGCGTAATACCACATCAAAAGGATACGTTCCTTACGCTGCAGACTCTTCACCTTTCCACGTATTAATGAAAACGGCAACAAATGACGGAGGCCAGGGTAGGTGGCGCGGCAAGTCGTAACATGGCGATAGCAATAATGCAGAGAAACAAACAAAATAATGACAGAAGGAATTATTCAAAATAAACAGTGAGAAAAAGGAGCAGCTGTCGAGCGCGTGGACAATTAATTAGTGGACGTTGGTTTTGGTGGGAAGCTGATGGATACAACGGGCTGAAACTGCACTTTAAATATGGCTTCTGATTAGAGCTTATATCGAATTAACACACATTTATGCAGATATACATACCTACTTACACATATACACAGATATACATCCCGCATACACATATAAATCCACACACACACGCACACACACACACACACATATATATATATATATATATATATGTGTGTGTGTGTGTGTGTGTGTGAAAAGAAAAGTATATAAATATAAATAAATATATATATGTATAATTATTTATATATTATATGCGGTACTTATTAGAAAGCGCTCAATATCAGAGATAGTGCTAACATATTTGGTTGGATAGATGTGAGTTTGTGACCCTGGGTTTCACGCTTTAGCGATCGTCAGACAAACTGATTAATGTTTTAAAAATTGTGGTTTATATATATATATAGATAGATAGATAGATAGATAGATAGATAGATAGATAGACCTAGTGAGCCAGACAAACCTACCAGGTTCCACCTAAACGGATCGTCAGGGGAAAGTTTGGAGCCAAACTTTCCTGACGATCCGTTTAGGTGAAACCTAGGTAGGTTTGTCTGGCTCACTAGGTTTATCTAGGTCTGCTCTACGGTTGTATTGAGTTCTTTTGTTAGTTAGTTGTTTACTCGTATCGGGGTTTTTTCTTTGGGCTTCAGACCTGCATCTGTGCGATTTTTTGTCGACAGAAGTTCATGTTTGTAGCTCTTTCTTTTTTTAAAACCTTTTTTCTCTCGAGATTGATTTGATTATTGGCAAATCAAAAATTCGAGGGTTTTTTCGAAACGAGTCTAGTTATCTATATATATATACATATATATATATATATATATATATATATATATATATATATATATATATATATATATATTCATTTATGTATAGCTGGCCACCTGTATTCGAGAATACCCAGGCGCATTTGTGTTTGTTCAACACCCACAGAGCCTACCTGTGCTTTCTAATGCAACTATGTTTATCAGAGCGTGTTATCTAGGCCACCACCCTTAAACCCTCGGCCAGGATGACTTGTGACTTCGTGCTAGCACAGCTATGGACGCCCCCCCTCCAGGGTTCCGTCTACCCAATTTCACTCACAAGGCTTGGGTCAACCCGTGGTATTGTTTTCAGGACCTTTCTGGGATCGACCCCTCTAGTCCGATAAACATCAGGAAGTCTCCTTTCTGACAAATCGACTATGTTGAGATTCGAACCCCGGGTCTCATAGTCAGATTGTGAATGTTCCACAGTTATATACACATATTATTTACACATTAGCATAAACAAGTCGGAAACTTTAGTAAGGTATCTATATTTAAATGCGTGTGAGAAAGAGAGTGTGTGGGTGGTGTAATGCTTATCGGCTCGGAAGAATCGAGTTCCAATTCCAGTCGGGTACGGTGGAATAATGGATAGCGGCTCGGATTGAGGAATTGGAGAGCCGAGTTCGAATTCCAGTCGAATCCATTACATTCACTTACGTGCTGATATCCTTGGGAAAGGTATGAATCCTCTTCTTCTAAGCTATGGGTAAATAGCAGGACAGACCGCGTTCTATAGCCTTGGATGGAAACTGGTCTACCGCAGAAAGTAACGACAACCTACTGCGGATAAAAAATCTGCCTCGTCAGTCATGTATCGAAAAATACATGATCGTCTAAGCGTGTATCACGCATAACGCATAACTGACAAAAAGCTCTCAAGAAAATTAAATTTCGTTGTTAAATGACCCATAAGGAATAAATAGCAGCACAAACCGGGTTCTATAGCCTTGGATGGCAACTGGTCTATCGCAGAAAGAAATGGCAACCTCCTGCGGGAAAATCGGAAATTGCATGATTACGTGTGGCACTTGACTCACTGATGAGAAAGAGAGAAAATAGGAAGAGATTAACATATTTTACTTAAGAAGAATACGATTTCTATCCTATGATAGTAGTAGTAGTAGTAGTAGTAGTAGTAGTAGTAACATTTAGTTAATCTAATATGTACGCAGTCAGGACAGAGGTTCTCGGACTGAAAACTATTCGGCACTCTTCGTATGTAGACATGTCATGTCCAAAAAAGAAAGTGTTTTAAATTAAGAATTTAACAGATGCAAATAAAAATAAATAATATATATAATATATACATACCTACCTACATTATTATTGTTTTTACTCCTCGTAATCGAGTATAGCCATCACACAACATTTATCAAGGCCCTTTTAATATTGTTGCGGTCGAATATAGTTTTATTTCCCAGCCAAGAACTGACATTGTTTGCCACAAGTCCTACATTTATGAGTTGCATTTGCCTTAAGCAATTCATCTGAGACAGTTCCGGAGCATTTATATCAATAACATTGTTAGTCATTATTGGTTGATCTGATTTATTTGTTTAACGGCATATCAACTCCTTATGGGTCATTTAATGCTGAAATTTAATTTTCTTGGGAGCTTTGAAGTAATAAAAATATGATATATGTTATTCTACTTTCACAATTGAATAAATGCAAATCCGCTAGGGTGATGTACCAGGCAAACATTGCCCCCCCCCCCAAAGAAAATATGACAAATTATAATGTTTACATTGTAATTTTCGCAGGAGAATTAAAACTGAGAATTTATACGCATAGGCACTCGTTTACCAATCCTAAACTAAAATACCAAACAGCCCTTTCAAAGAAATTTTGGAAATTGAAGGAAAAGAGTCTAAGCCCGCAGACAGATTGGGAAATTATGGGTTTCACTCTAATAGCTTTAGAGATAGATGCAGGCTATGTTTAGAGGGGAAAATAGAATAATTAAATACAATGATCAATGCAAATTATTAACCCATTACCTGCCATGAGCCCCATTTGAGGATCTGTTAAAATAAAACTCATTACATGTTATTCCTTGAATTTACATTGAATTGCTTACATACATTGCATTTTACAACACTTAGCCTTTAAAGTTTTTATTAGCCGTAAAGAAGACATTTTCTGTCGTAATTTTATATTTCACGAGCAGAAAAATAATGACCATTTTGAAAAGAAAAATCAATATTATTTTTTTGATATCTGTCTATTTTGAAAAGTATTATTTTTACATTATTACTTTGTCCTCATCTTTGTCGCCATATTTATTTTTTGATATCTGTCTATATTTCTGAGATGAGGTATTATGTACATGATTTACATTATTCGGACTATTGTCCTCATCTTTGTCGCCATATTTATTACAACGTTTCGGCCCTTCAGTATCTGTCTATATTTCTGAGATGAGGTATTGTGTATTATTTACATTATTCGGACTATTGTCCTCATCTTTGTCACTATATTTATGACAACGTTTCGTTCAGTTCTGTCTATATTTCTGAGACGATTTATGTATTTTACATTATTCGGACTATTGTCCTCATCTTTGTCGCCATATTTATTACAACGTTTCGGCCCTTCAGTATCTGTCTATATTTCTGAGATGAGGTATTGTGTACATTATTTACATTATTCGGACTATTGTCCTCATCTTTGTCACTATATTTATTACAACGTTTCGGCCCTTCAGTATCTGTCTATATTTCTGAGATGAGGTATTATGTACATTATTTACATTATTCGGACTATTTTCCTCATCTTTGTCGCCATATTTATTACAACGTTTCGGCCCTTCAGTATCTGTCTATATTTCTGAGATGAGGTTTTATGTACATTATATTTATTCGGACATTATTCGGACATATTTTTACAACGTTTCATCTTTGTCGTATTTCATGATTTATCCCAACGGACTTTTTCGGCCTCCCAACGTTTTCTTCAGGTGGTTGGAATTTCGAACTGAACCCTTTATTTCGCTCACTGGAATAGACTGTTCTAGTTCCACGTGCCATGTTTAATGGATGTCAGTTATCAGTTATCTCCTGTTAATTTTCCTTCTGAAAGTTCTCCACCGCCTTAACCAGGTATTGAACTCACACTCTTTGGGTCCTGTCACTGGATCTAACCAACGCCTTTATCCACTGTGCCATATGTCCTTGAGGATAATGTAAATAATGTTATTTTTTGATGTTTTATACACATATATATTTGATGTTCTAGTTTCTATAAAGATGACAATGGTAACTACTGAAATTAAACATATGGAATAAATAAACTCCTAAGACACCTGTCTGGGCCAAAAATGCGCATTAAAAATTTTGGCAGTTAATGGGTTAAACCCAAGGAGAGAACTAGTTTAAAATGTAGCCACAGAAGCAGATACAAGCTTATATAAGAATAAAGATCTTACAATCACTCACTACGAAAAAGTAAGAGGCCCTCAATTGATATAATCCCCTCTGATTAAATTTTTGCTTTAATATCTTCCCTTAAATAATTTCATGTACAACTCGGCATCCCTAATATTATAACTGAACCTTAATAGTGGAAAGAGATGGTCTATATATATATATATATATATATATATATATATATATATATATATATATATATGTGTGTGTATATCCAATCATCCTGTCTCTTTCTTCTATCTCTCCTACTCTCTCCCACATCTCTCTCCCATCCTCTCTCTCTCTCTCCTCATTCTTCCTCTACCTCTCCCTTTCTCCTTCACTTCCTCTGTCTTTCTATTCCTCCTTCTCTCTTTATTTCTCAACCCTCTCCCTCATTCTCTCTCTATGTTCCTAATTCTCTCTCTTCCCCCTCTATCTTCTTCTATCGCC